GGGATGTCGTGTCTCATAATGGAGCCGGTCATATGGTCTCTGTGGATTGGCTGCTCTAAGCAGGAATATAGTCCCCAAGGGTTGGTGTGCGCCATTCTCTCCTCCTCCCCCTTCATTTGCTCCCATGTGCTCTGATCAAACATGTCCCTCTTACTGAGTTGCAGTTTCAGTGCTGTCCTCTGAAATAAATTCTTCTGGGGGGAGGGTAGGATACATTTTTTAAAAGAATCTATTTCTTGATGAGAAACCAAAGTGTAATTCAAATGTAATTTGATGATTTATTTATAAAACCAAATCAAACCCCCTGCTATTGAGTCTGGATTTAGATTCAGAGGCCCGACAGGGATATATATATATACACACACATATACATATATATGTGTGTGTATATATATATATATACACATATACATGTGTGTATATATATATATATATTTAAAAACTAAGCTCACTGCTGTCGAGTCGATACCAACCCATAGTGGCCTTATCGGACAGGGAAAAACTGTCCCTGTCAGTGTCTAAGGCTGTTAAGGCTTCACAAGAGGTAGAAAGCCCATCTTTTCTCAAGGAACTGCTGGTGGCTTCGAACTGCTGACCTTGCAATTAGCAGCCCAACACATCACCAGTATACCCCCAGGGCTCCTGATGTAGGTAAGTTAGGTAAGTAAGTAGGTAGGTAGGTAGGTAGGTAGGTAGGTAGGTAGATAGATAGATAGATGGATAGATGGATGATAGGCAGGCAGGCAAGCTAACAGATAGAGATATATATGAGAAACTCGGGGCTTTCTCCGATACAGAGTTAACAGTCACAGAGACTCACAAGGACAGTTCTACCCTGTCCTACAGGGTCTCTATGAGTCAATATTGACTCAATGGCAGTGAGATAAACACACACACACACACACACACACACACGTGTATATAATACATGCAACCACTATTGGAAGTACATATCAAAATGAAGCAAGGGGCACGGTTCCCCAGCTCATAGAAAAGTTACATTACGCTACAATGTAGTCTGCTGAGTGTGCCCCAGCTCACAGAAAAGTTACATTACGCTACAATGTAGTCTGCTGAGTGTGCAAAGGCATAATGAAAAAGTTGGAAATGTGAGAATGACTAAACGGAGGCAGAAAGACACATGTGCACGAGTTGTTGAAAAACTGGCACTGCTAGTCTTGCTCAAGCCCAGGCTGCCACAGACCTCCGATCTGTAAAACACAGTGCCTTGCAGAGCAATATAAAAAGGCTCACTCAACAGATCAACCCGGGCCCCCACCACCCGGACAATGTTCTCAGGGCCAAGGGTACAGCAGTGAAAACCACCCAAGTCCTAACAGAAGGTAGTGGTCAGTACTGTTAGCAAGGGCAAGAATCCAGAAAGAGCACAGGAGAATCACAGGCGTGGGTGGGGAGGGAGCTAGTTTTACAGGAGGGTGGTTAGGGCAGAAGCAGCAACACCTGGGCAGAGAGGTCCTTGGCGCAGTCATAGGCGGTAGAACGAATATTTTCCACTTTAACCTAAAGGTTGTGAGGCAGATGCCCGCCTTTAACTAACCAGATTCATGTCTTATTTTAGAGTACCCAAATATCAGGCTCGGTGCATGACCTTCGTCTGACACAAAGCAGAAAACGTCATTAAAAGGAACCTTTGCCAAAACATTTGAATGTCATAGGTTCTAATTAACATAATCACCCCCAGACAGTGAACATTACAATAGCCGATCAGAAAGGCAAAGTAAAATATTACAAAGATGATTGTGATCGGGATATACAGACTACACAGAATACAGCCCCCAAGTCATTTGAAGACTGACTTCATAGATGTTTAGTGCTCAGAGCATGCACGCGATGGTTCATTTGTCTGAGCAAAGTTCTGCTTCTTAACAATTTGAATTTCAATCTCTGAATGGATTTCAGGATATTTTATTTGAACTCTTGCCACGTCCTGACTCTTAAATTTTGATCTGTATTTTCTGTATCAATCATTCACTCACTCATTCCTTTCACAGAAAGTCTAAAAAACACACAGGGCTCCCTTTTGGTTTTTCTTTTCTAATGCTGGGTTTGGTTTGGTTTTTAAGAAGCACTTCGTCCTGTGAATGGGGTGAAGGTTTTCAGAGCAAACCCGCTTCCCACACAACAGCTCACACACGTTTGCTTCCTGTCGTTCATGCCACTGCAAGGTTCCTTTTCTTTAATGGTTAAAAAAAAAAAGGTGTAAAAAAGAACAATAAATAAATATTTTTTAAATGGTGCAACCTGGACCCCTTCCTGCGTGAGCACCCTAGCGTAGCCACAGCTAAGGAACGGAATGACAGCAAATGACCCAGAGAGCTCTCCTCTGAGCACGTCTGCCTGGCTACACTGATCCTGCTGTCACACCTGAGCTCAAGTACATCACTCAGGAAAGAAGGAATTCATGGGGTGAGTTAGGAAAGAAAAAGAATTTGGCATCACAAATCAACAGAATTAAACCAAAGGCAACCCCACTTCCCTCCATTCCAGCTCACAGTGACCCCCTGTAGAACAGGGTTTTTATGGAAGCAGACTGCCGCCTCTCCTTCCCTGAGCAACTTGAGGGTTTAAACCTCCAACCTTCCCACTGGCAGCTTAGCACTTAACCACTGCAACCCAGGGCTGCTCTCAAATTACTAAACCCGCTCAACATCCTGGCAAATGCAATCATATTCCAGAAGATCCACCCCTGGCCATTCTCAAAAGTCCACCCAGCCTTGGGCCTAGTCAGAGCAAAAGACATAAGCTTCGTGCTGCATGTCTGAGTCATAGTAGCTGCAACATTGTCTCGGTCTTGTGCTTTTTCTAGATCAATGCATCATCCCTACTCAGACCTCACCTCAGGAGAGCAGCGGGCAGGGAGGTGGTGAAAGACACCAACGATGTTGGAGTCAGACCTGGGAAAGGTAAACTCACACCTCCATGCCACTAGCTGTACAACGAACACCAGTATCCAATCTCACAAGATTACTATGGGAACTACATAAGATAATACATGAAACACTCTTGGTTTTAGCATCGGTGCCTGGGACACAGAAGGTGCTT